TTTGTTGTGTGACCTCACCAGTGGTGAGATTCAAATAATTTAACAACCGGTTCTCTACCCTAATGACCAGCTAGGTAGGCATGGCTCAGTGGTCATGTGATTGGGTGGGCATGGCCAACTCAACATCACTCATGTTGATGGGCGCTTCACCTTAGCTGTTACAATGTCATAAGGGTTAACCAGAGAGGCAGTTTCTGTAAGCAGGTCAATAAAGATTAGGCTAAGAACAATACCAGAATGTTTCCTTCCTGCCTTCCTTATAGGATTAGCCCTGTAAAGTGGGGAAAAAACCCAAATGAGATTTCTTCCATCAACTGATTCTCCAAACTGCTTAAAAAGTTACCAACCGGTTCTCCCAAATAGGTGCGAACTGGCTGAATCCCACCACTGACCATATACATACACGCTTGTTGAAGAAGACTGATCCACAAATAGGGCTTTAATAGCTCTCCCTTTTCTTTACTTCTTGGTGATTTGCCATCTTTGCTGATCGATCACCTGGCCAACTGCTCCTTTGGGATTTTAAAGATATTTGTGTCAACCACAACATTCTTGGGCAACTTAACAACTGTGAATTTCAGCCGCCCAGACACTATTACAGTCAAATGAGGTAACCCTTGGGTAACCCTTTCCTGTTGACATAGCATCGGTGAAAGGTAAAGCAAGAGAAAACATTTGCCATGCAGCCTTCATACCACTGATTGTTTTGTAGGCCAGCTATTTGTTCCTGTGTAGAGCTAGCTCATTCCCCACAAATAAAACCTTGTTACCTCTCCTTTTATAAATCAAATTGGTAGTGGTGAAATCCTCTGAAGTCTGCTACTGGTTTGGTGAGTCTGCTACTGAGCATGCGCTTTGCGCATGCATGCGCACCTGAGGAGCACCGACAAAGCACTAAAAAAAAGAACATTTTGAAGCCTTCCACGTCTGCAAAGCTAAGTAGAACAGCAAGGGGGTGGAATCCGCTGTGCCACACGATTTAGATTAGCTAGAAAGCAGGAAATCCGATGATTCTAGCTAATATAAATCGCGCATCACAGCTGATCGTCACCCAGCTGATCGGCGGAAATACCAGTTTGCCCAAACAGGTAGCATTTTTTACTACCGGTTCAGGTGAACCGGACCAAACCGGTAGCATTTCATCCCTGCTGTACAGTATTAGGGCTGGTGAAGTTAAGCCAGTCCTTTGTGGATGAGAATAAAATACAGAATACATAATAACAGAGTTGGAATGGATCTTGGAGGTCTTCTAGTCCAGCCTCGTGCTCAAACAGGAGACCCTATACTATTTCAGACAAATTGCTGTCCAGTCTCTTCTTAAAAACCTCCAGCACTCACAACTTCAGGAGGCAAGCTGTTCCACTGATGAATTGTTCTCACTGCCAGGAAATTTCTCCTTAATTCTAGATTGGAGAAGATTGAATCAGACAGAATGATAATTTCCACCTGTTACTTGTTACTCTGCTCTCAGGTGCTTTGGAGATATTGAACCCTGCAGCATACACTTACCTGAGAGTAAGTCCGATTAACCAGACAGATTTATCTTTACATAAAACAACACACATACAGATAGCGCAGCCATTCTTTCTTTCTGATTCTGCCCTAAAAGGAGAGCAACACTGCCCCCTACAGAGGAAGAAAGAAAAATTTGGGGGGGGGGGCTGACAGGTGTCGATTGGGAGAAAATGATGCATTATCAAAGAATGGTTTAAACAAAAGCATTCATTATGATAAAAATAATTCTAAGAAGGGGTGGCAGTAGATTAGCTGATCTTGTAAATACTTCATTCTGATAAAGGGAGGAGAAAGGAGACCATGAGCCATGAGAAGTGTGTTTCACGATCCCCATATGCCACTGTTGTTCTAGTTAGATCTTTATCCTGCTTTTTATAAACACTGTGTAACTTAAGGCAGTGGATACACTTAATGTTCCTCCTCCTATTTTCCCCACAGCAGCAACTAGGTGAGTGGGGTTAGGCTGAGAGACAGTGATTGGCCCAAGGTCACATCTAGCCGACATTCGTGCCTAAGAAGGGATTAGAACTCCCAGTCTCCTGGTGATTGGGACAAAGTCACCCAGCCGGCGTTCATGCCTTAGGCAGAACTAGAACTCCAGCCTCCTGGTTTCTAGGCCAGGACACTAAACCAAACTGGCTCCTCATGGAAATGAAATACCATCACAAAATGACCATTTATTCATTTATTAGATTTGTTTATTTATTTACATTTATTACAGTTGTATACTGTTCATCTACCCTAAATCACTCTGAACAGTTTACCACAACATCATAAAACAACTTAAACACATGGTTAAAAAACACGGTTAAAGACCGAATTAAGAACAAGGTTAAAATTTACAAGTTCAAAGAGAAAATCAAAGTTTAAAGAATTCAGGTTAACAAGGGGGGGGGAGTGTCCTCCAGCCATACCCCATCCCTAGGTCTACATCATCTTTTTAGGCTCCCATCCTCATTGGCAGAGCCAGGTCTTAACACTCATCGGGAAAACCAGAAATATTGGGGCTCCTCTTGCCTCTGGGGATTAACATGCCCCAGAGTGTGGGGCAACATCAGAGAAGGTATCCTACCTCATAGGTAGCAAACATAGGTACCGTATTTTTTGGAGCATAAGATGCACCTTTCCCCGCCTAAAAGAGGGTGAAAATTTGGGTGTGTTTTATATACCGAATGTAGCCCCACCCACCCACCAGCCCCCGCCCTTTGGCTTCTACCTCCTCCCAGCAATTTACCTCCTTGCAGCAAACAGCAAACAGTACAGACGATATACACTATGGTGTTACATTTCAGACTATACTTGTACAGATGCTGTTAAAATTGATGTGGCTTTCTGGAAGTATAGTTATTTTCTGCTATTTAAAAGAAGGTACAATAGCACTGGGCCTCTTCAGATCAAGCATTTATTTTAAAAAGCTTCTTCATTTCGTTAAGTTGTCTAGAACAATAACGAAGCAGTCTTTAAAAAATGTCTAATAATTTGAACATTCTGTAGGCATTTATAGCTATTGACTTACCTCCTTGCAGCAAATGGGAAAAATAGGGCTTGCAGAGGCTGCAATAGGCTATGGCAATCCCTGCAGCCTAAAACAGCTGATGATGGGGAGGGCCCCTGCAGAAATTGAAAGTGAAACTTGCTGTTTGCTGCACCAGGCAAATTGCTGGGAGGCAGAGACAGATTTTTTTCTTCTTGTGCTAATCAGGCTGTTTGCTGAAAGGAGCTAAGTCAATAACTATAAATGCCTGTAGAATGTTCAAATTATTAGACTTATTTTTTTAAAGACTGCTTTATTATTGTTCTAGACAACTTAAAAAATGAAGAGCTTTTTAAAATAAACGCTTGATCTGAAGAGGCCCAGTGCTATTGTACCTTCTTTTAAATAGCAGAAAATAACATATACTTCCAGAAAGCCACATCAATTTTAACAGCATCTTACAAGTATATTCTGAAATGTAACACCACAAAACAGTGTACATCGTCTGTACTGTTTGCTGTTTGTTGCAAGGAGGCAAATTGCTGGGAGGCAGATTTTTCTCCCATTGTTTTCCTCCCCAAAAGCTAGGTGTGTCGTATACGTCAGAGCGTCTTATACTCTTAGAAATACGGTAATCCAAATCAACAAAACAAATCTAATGAATATCAAGGTAAACAACAAGGAGAAGATAACATAATGGTGCCTGAAGACAATCCATTCCACCACATCACCATAACCATGCTAAAGAAAGCCACAGTGATGGTCTTCACCCAATCTGTAGGTCATACCTAGCTCTTCGGTGATTTACAAAATGCCAGCAAGTTGGAGCCAAATGAGTTGGGATATGGTGTTCTGAAGAACGGGCATTGCAACAGGAAAGGCCCAGGAGATGTTTTGGGTCATCCTTGGTCACAGCAATGTTGATGGAGCCAAGGTATCACTGGTCTGGAATAATGTAGACATCATCTACTGCTTCCGGGACAGGCTGCCCACCATAGTTGTAATATAATTCCTGAGTATTGGCATAGACGGGCTGATGGCCTTCAGAAGAACCTCCGTTCTCACCTTCCGATGGAGACCTGAGGGCCCAAAATCCCCCAAAGAAAAGAGATCATTATCATGCCTCCTCCCTATGGAATCATTTTGATCCTCCTATCATTTTTGATCCAATACAGTATGTATTATTCTTTTAAATGGTTTATTTTCCCTTGGGGACCATTTTGAGGGCTTTTAAAGGAGCTGTTAGTATAGCAAATTTATTCATTATGCACCTGTAACTAAGCACAGGCTAGACATAGAATAAAAACTGCAATTAATATTACAAACATAATACAAAGAGATGTTAAATCACATTATGAAGTAAGGAGTCTTTAGAGCAGCGTAGAACTTTTGAGATGAGTGGGCTTCAACCCCTAGAATTCCCCAGCCAGCTCGTTGAAAAACATTGGCCCTAGATCAAATGACTCATGATATAGAGAAATTAACTTCTTTACATTCAAATTAGTGAGTAATGTTTAAAAACAACAACACCAGAATGGCCAAGAAAATGAAGCTCTCCGTGAAGCCATTAATATTTAAAATTAAAGAAAATTTGAATGTACAGTACACACACACACACACACACACACACACACACACACACACACACTGTGATAGTGCAGTGGTTAGAATGCAGTACTGCAGGCTACTTCTGTTGACTGCTCGCTGTCTGCAGTTTGACAGTTTGAATCTCACTGGCTCAAGGTTGACTCAGCCTTCCATCCTGAGGTTGGTAAAATGAGGACCTTGATTCAAGGGCGGGTTCTGGCAGGCACTGCTGCTGGTTTGCTCATGCGCAGTACAATAAAAATTGTTCTGTACATGCATAGAAAGGAAAAACAAGATGGCAGCCTGGAGACCCGTTCAGGGGCGTGGCAGGCCTGGGTTGCTGCTGGTTCCAGCAACCCAGGCTGCTAAATCACTACCAGTTCAGCCGAACCAGTCCGAACTGGTAGGAACCCACCACTGCCCTGATTGTTGGGGTCAATAGGCTGACTCTGTAAACTGTTTAGATGGGGCTGTAAAGCACTATGAAGTGCTGTATAGTCTAAGTGCTATCTATCTATCTATCTATCTATCTATCTATCTATCTATCTATCTATCTATCTATCTATCTATCTCTGTCTATCTATCTATCTATCTATTTATTTATCTATCTCTATCTATCTATCTATCTATCATCTATATCTATCATCTATCTATCTATCTATCTATCTATCATCTATATCTATCATCTATCTATCTATCTATCTATCTATCATCTATATCTATCATCTATCTATCTATCTATCTATCTATCTATCATCTATCTATCATCTATCTATCTATCTATCT